TAGCTCAAATGTTGGTAAGGGAGGAAATGTCAGGCCCCTCCGTCGGTCGATGGCGTAAAATGGCTCTGGTGTGACTATAACAACATGCAATAAGTTTGATAAGGGGGGGGGGGCAGAGGACGAATACAATGATCACTGCTTGAATACACCACTGGCTCACGATTCGACAGATCTACCTCTCCCCACTCACGACCCCTTGGCATTATATCACCAGCGGCAATAATTTCCTTTTGCACAAGATTTATCTCCAAACAAACTTTAAGCAAATGTCAAGATAATCACACCTTCCCAAAATAGTGTTCTTTTTTAAATAACTGTGCGGTATCCAAAACGACCTTCAGAAAAACAAGACAACTGCGTCTGCTCAAAAATAATAAGTTCAGTTAACTGTGCAGAGTTTTGGAGCACATTGGTGGCTCACTTGGTACGTAACTCCCTTCTTGCTGGATTTCCCTCTGCTCTGCGATAACCCTGCCAGTTTTTTACTTAATACGGACCCGATGGAGGCCGGAAGTGCGTATCCCCCGGCGGTGTGTGCATTATCGCAGCGGTTTAGCCCATGGTCTGGTCTATGGACAGACATCGCGCCATCTTCACACGTGGCGAGCTCAAGAATGCCCTTCCATAGTTTTCCATAAATTAAAGTTAACTAGTGGCGATGTTGGAAAAAATGGTACTGTAGAGCGCCACAATCTTTGGAAAGTACCGCTCTCAACCCCTGTGAATGAAGACAGAACGCAAAAATGGATATGCTCTAGAGGTTTTTCTCCGAGAGACGGTCTTTCAAAAAAGGCACACAACTGGAATCGTCTAGAGCAGTCCATCGTGACCAAATGTCCACCCAAAAATCCCTACGCTGTTTGCAATACGTCCTGGGAAGGAAGCCACCGAAAATGAATAATGTGTGGAGCTTCATTAGCTCATGCCTTGATATAATCCACGCACTGATTACGCATTCCGTATGTATGACGTCATTCACCACCCGCTCGTCCCATGATAAGTATTTCTTTTATTGGTCCAGGAAATTCGTGCAGCCACAGAACATTTTGTGAGTTAACAACTGGCGGCGGCCTTCGTCTAGTAAACACGCGCCAACCCAAAGCGTAGACATCGTACACTGCAAGGCCGTGTGTTGCTTGTGCAGCTGCCATGCAAACGTGCATCTGTGAACATCTATACCAGCGTTATTTCCCAGTTAACAACGCTTGCTGAGGCTGTGACATGGCCGTTCGCCTCCGTGATTGGTCAGCGGCCGTCCAACGCTCTGCGTGCCGGGGCTGCGGCGGCGTCTGCAGGAGGGGCGCGGCCGGGGGCGGGGCGGCGCCGCGCGCCAGCGTGACCCCGATCCCCCGGCGGCTGCGGCTCGCGGCCCGGGCCGCTGGAGCCGCAGGTGCAGGGGTCGGCCGGCGCCGCGGCCGGCGTCCTTGACCCGCTGCCGCCCGGACGTTCCGCTCTTCCGGTCCGGCCGCCGCGGCCGCCGCGCGCGCCGCGGAGGGGCGCTGCCGGCGAGCGGTCATTGACCGCCGCTGCCGCACTCCCGACCCCGCGTCGCGAGCCCCGTGCCGGTCAGGGAGTCGGCGACTGACCGGCCAGGGTCACGCGGGAACATCCACGCACGCACAGCTGCGCCAGTATCGAGCCGTAGGCCAGCAAGAACGCTGACCCACTTCGCCCCCCCCCCCCGTCGGTCGTCGATCGATGGGCAGGCTGCGAGAGCGGAGCGTGGCAGAGTCACGCCGGCCTCGGCCTGGCGCCGTTGCCATAGCGCCGCCGGCGCGCCGCCCTCTGCCGGCGGCCGAGCACGTGGCCGTCACCCGCCCGCATCCCGCCGGGGCGGGAACCGCACCACCGCATTACCAGTCGCCTGAGAGCCATCTCCATACCAGTCAACGGTGCGAGATCGACGCTGGTCGGATGCTGGCGTCTTTGCAGGCCTCCCACTTTTCGTCCAACCATTTGTAGGCACGTAATCATTTGTCTACAAATACTTAGGTACTTAAGCGGTGTGTGGACAACAACCGGAACAGTTTCGAGTTAAACGTAATATCTAAAAATGGATCAGTCCCGGTGTCGAAATGCGCCTCTTGTGGGTCCAAAATTGCAGTCCCTTTCTCAACAGATCATGGGCCTCAGCCGGCACAGTGTGGAGGGCTCTGACGGAAAGGAAAAAAGATACATGCTAAGGTTGCGGAGAGACCCGTCCACGGAAGGCGCACATTACTGCGGGCTCGTGAGTCCCTCACACACGGGGCGTCATCATCGAGAGCCCTGTTTGTGGCATGCAGGCCTTTGCTGGCCTTCAAAGGTGGCTGATGGCCTGCTGGGCCGGGAATACTACGAGGCCACTTGGTAGGTTACTAGCAACCCCCTCTGCCGTAAAGAGACCACCGGCGATCTGCGAGAAGACCTGCACTGGGTGCCTATGGGTGGTCTATAATAGGCGCGCCCTAGACATACCGTTTACGACATTTGGACCTACAGACCCACTGGACTGAAGAAAGCGGCCCGTGGTAGTTGATGGCCCGGGAGCGTACCCAGGGGCTTTGGGCGACATGCCCCCCCCCCCCCACCCAGTTGGAGCACGCGGGGAGCTGAAGCATCCCATGCGTTTCTGACAGGCTGCTGGAAAGAATTCATCCTCTGGAATGGTCCCCCAGAATGGGAAAAGTTCCCTGCATAATAAGTGAAAAGCATAAATGCGATAAGTGGTGCATCCAAGAGAACTAAAAGTAGGGCTCCGTTTAGAAGACTGGACAGGGCAGCGGGGTGTACCCGACCTATGCCGTAGTAACAAAAGGCATGCCAGGATTCTGTTCAGAGCTAGCCCAATAGTTAGACAGTAAAACTTGCTACATTACCTGGTGGTTGGGGGCGATTTTGTGATGAACACAAACATTTACAGAACTATGTGCGACGTGACAAAAGTTTGACCATTTTGAACACTAGGTGAGAACGACCCATAGCGCGAAAGACTTTCTCAAAGCTCAAGAGGGAGTGTAGATTGATTTATGACTCTGGGCATTCTTGTGACACACGGAGTGTCCAAAAAAAGGTATTTGAGAACCGTACCAAGATGTGCCATTGTTTTAAGGTCAGTGATGCAGTATCTGAGGTTTTTTGGGCTTCTGACCGCTTTGGGCTCCAGCCTGTCAAATTTTCTCTAGATTCAAGGAAGCAAAATTTGACACGAACGTGCATTTGTGTGCATCCTGATCGTTGCGCCTCTTTGTCTTGGCGCGTGCAAGTTTCCACAATAGTGCAAACATAGTGAGGATCATATGGAAAAGTTTGTATATCTAAGATTGCATTCCACACCACAACGAAAAATTCGCTAGGCTTTTTTCACGCAACCTGTGCCGGCTCTGAAGGCGGAGCCAGAGCTAGCAGCAAAAGGCGCGTAAAAACGCATCAGACACAGATGCCACTTAGATTACTTAGATCATAAACGCCAGACCACAAGATCAGCGCATTAAACGTGCACGAACAAGTTATCCACCAACCAAAGAGCCGTTCACACCCCTCCCGTGACGAGATCTCCAGCAAATACCCGCTCCAATACCCGGCCAAAACATGACGCAAATACCGCTCCACCGGAGGCCATTGCAATGTGGTGTGGTGTGTGTGGTGTGTGTGTGTGTGTGTGTGTGTGTGTGTGTGTGTGTGTGTGTGTGTGTGTTGGTGGTGTGTGTGTGTGTGTGTGTGTGTGTGTGTGGTGTGTGTGTTGTGTGTGTGTGTGTTGTGTGTGTTGTGTGTGTGTGTGTTGTGGTGTGTTGTGTGTGTGTGTGTGTGTGTGTGTGTGTGTGTGTGTGTGTGTGTGTGTGTGTGTGTGTGTGTGTGTGTGTGTGTGTGTGTGTGGTGTGTGTGTGTGTGTGTGTGTGTGTGTGTGTGTGTGTGCCGTAAAAGCAGGTTGTCTCCGACCATACACATTGCAACGGGAGGGAGGGGAAGGGGATACATACATATATACATAGTACATACATATCGGTGGTATCGGTGGTAAGGGGATAGTACATACATATCGGGTGGCAAAACATTCTGGCGCTTTCGGTGGTTCGCATGCGCTGTTGCTGTGAAAGAAGCGAGACAGGGCTCCTGACTCGCCTAATACCGTAACCCATGGGTGAACGCCAGTGTCTGGTGGCGTAGGAGGTAGAGGCTGATGGTAGTTCCAGTTTCTCACGCAAACCCGGCAAATTATAATATTTTTGCAGCAGACTTAACTTTAGGCCCCATTTAGGATTTACTGGAAATTTTTGTCGCGCGTTTCATGCAGGCATTTAGCGTGAGCTTATCAGCTAACCATCAAACACGTGGTTCATAACCAGTAATTCGTTTTTAATAGTTGCATAATCACAGTGATCTTTCTGGTCGCTAGAACACCACTTTGCAAATCCTGCTTACGGTGCTCGTTGTGGAGTTTCCTCACAAATATAATATTTACGATTCGGGCTTTAAAGTGACTCATAAGTGCTAAAAGCGAACGAGTTGTGAAAACTGACAGGCCCCACTAAGTACACAAAGCACACTAAAGTGTCCATCGCGCACTTTGTGTGCACAAAGCACGCAAAGTAACGCATTCAATAAAGCACACTTGGAACGTCAGTGCATAATCGGGAGGAAATCCGCGCTTTAGACCATGGTTTTTAGCCGACCCGCAAGCTCTTGATTACTACAAATCTTAGTGGCAGCAACTGATTTGGTGAATTGACATGTAGTATCACAGCAAGTAAAAATTGGTTCAGCGAATAGACCGAACCAACGAATTTCGTCCACTTTGGTACATCCCGCTCACAATAATTCACCAGGGCCGGCTAACCTCGGCTCTCCTTCAAGACACATGAAATTAGACTGCAAATGCGCCATGCTTGCGCATACCTGAGACGCTTCCAGCTGGAACAAATGCGGCGGCTTTATTTGCCCAGTCGTTTGAATCAGCCAACGCCAACGCAGCCCGGTAATAAATGTACAACACGGGCTCGTCGTCAGCAGTTTCAATGCAGCTAATCTCCGTCGAATCCCGGGATCGCCCTCAGAGCGAGGTGGGCGGCCTGCGCGCGCCATCTGCTGGCGTCGCATCGGTTGGTGTCACGCACCGGAAACGGGGACAGCGGCGTCTCGTGCTCACGCGGCGCCTCACTCCCGCCTCCCTCAAACTTGTCCGAGTAATAGATCGAACTATTAGCATGGGAATTGTGCGGATTTGTCACCACTGGGGCCTGTCAGGATTTATTGAAGCCGAGGACGTGGCTGGTGTTGCGATACATTTAGCACGGCCAGTAGCAACGCACCGTCTGTCCGTCCTTTACTTCAACAGGCACACATGCGGCACGTCTTATGATGCCCCCGTCTCACATGAGGTACGCAACAGTTGTCTTTGCCGTGTGTCGCAGTTCCCTGCGAGCTTTTCGTTGTCGACCAGTTGGATCAAATTTTCAGTACGGCCACTGGGTACATTGACAACTGAATGGGATGTAGTTTCTTTCGATCGGAAGGGGTCCAATTTAAGTACGCATCTGTGGTCTGAATGGCGCAATGCTTGATATCCCATAAATAATTGTCAGGTTGTAGGCATAATGATCGCTTTGCCTGCGTTTAAACATTAACCGGATGTGACTGAAAGCTGAAACCACTGCCCCAAACGTTCCTGGTCGCATACCCTGGTAGCTGTGCCTAGAAAAGAAGTTCCTAAAACCCAGAACACTAACAGATTACACTACCTTACATGTCCCGAGTCATAGTACCCTCTCCTGGCGCACGGCTCGCACCTTTCATGTTTGTTACTTTGAGGACACATCAATATGTTTGCGACTGACTTCCCTTTCTTGGCATTTCCTAAAAACTCATTCAACATTTCTGGATGTTTGCATAAATATCTGACAAGGCGCGTCACATTTTCCCGAGATAAACGTGTAAACGCGACGGACCAATGCGTCCACGTTTCAGGGTGCAGCCCGGGCAAAAGTGCAGCATGACAGTTTGCACGCAGCCCATGAATGTCCAGTTCACCCGCTGTGCAGAAACAAAACTATGCACGTCACGATGCTTGATTTGTTATGCACTTCAACCGGGCGTGGAATCGACAGAGAGTCGTGGCAACCGCGTGCGTTGCTTGCGAAAGGTAACGAAATCGTCGAGCCAATGATGGTGAAAATGCACAAAGCTGTTAAGATAGCGTGAGCTTCCGAGTGCGTTTCACGGAAAATGGTCTGGGTACAATGACATTGGAAAAGCAACCCGTAAGTGACGCTATGTGACGGTGGCGTCCGCCACTAGTGGACGGGGGGGGGGGGGGGGGACGTACCCCACGGACATCGGGCAGGGCAACAGTCCACTTATAACAGCAGCATTCTTGCAAGATAGAAAATATTATTTACTAAGATTCTCAGCAACGAACCGCCAATTTGTTGCCGCTATCCACAATTTTTACGATGCTGAAGCTCCGTCACATGAGTAGCATTTCATTGCTTCAGATACTTGCAAGACGCTGCTGGGAAATTCAGAAGACCGCTCGGCGGTATTCCCCTGTACTGGCCGAGTAAGCTCTACGTCATCCGTGCCTTCGTACCTAGATTCAAGTGGGAGTGTTTTACATTTGCATTGGGTTTTGAACTGAAAATAGTCATTTAGAAGATAACTCGGTGCAGATCACAGCCCTACTTCTCTTACAAACTCAAGGCTTCTAATTTCTGAGCTACACAACTGGAAAGATACGCAGACTATTTCGGAGCCATCCAGGCATGTGTGACGACAGAGCGACTTCATTAAAGTCCCGCCACCCCATAAGCCATGAGGCGTTCAAGGCCAATAAAAATGTGATCGCCGAGCCGTTCAGATTTGGCGTACACGAGCGCGATTTCCAGTCAACATGGACGTCAAATGTCTTATCTAGGCTTCCAATCGTTGTTGAGCGAGCTGTGCAAGTTTCAGTCACGAATCACGTTTTGTTCCACATGCTATAAAAAGCTGGACATGGCTGCTAGTTATTACAGAAATAATACTTGCAATCTAATAACTTGAGAATAGCGCCACAATCGAGTATGTGAATACAACTAAACATCTAAAACTCAAGTATAACCATGCAAAAACACCACGAGAAAGGGCCAAACGCGAGCGCCTAACCATAGTTGGCTCTACGAACACTTCCAGTACCGACATAGTCATCTCTCAGCGAGCTTGAGGCACTGCAAGTGAGGGCTAGAGTAGATATATCGCACGGCTAGTTTGGCAGGAATTCAATGTCATACAAATGTTTCATCACAAACTAAACAATGACGTATTGAGAAGCATAGTTGCTAAATAGAGATATTATTTTTCCTATTCCTACGGCCTATTCTGACCTCTAATAAGTCTATGAAAGACGTAAAATGCGGTTCCTGCTATCAATAATTTTGAAATGAACACCAGAAACTAGCCCATACAGCAAACCCTAGGGGAATAACACGGGTTGGTTTTGACCTTCGTCTGACCTTCATACCTGACCTTAGGTCAATTTGATTTGCTCATTCAATGGTTTTGTTGCTTGAGAAAGCACCTCAGAAATGTGTGGTTTCGTCTAACACTCCGTTGCTGCATCAGATCGAACGATTCTCTAGAAATTGACTTCGCTGAAACCATGGTCTGACTTTGACCTGCCATAGGTCACCGACTTTACGAGGCATATCTAATTTCTTGAATTTAAATGATTTGCTATACAATTGTCTACGGCTGTGCATAATTTTGGGCGGCTACACGGCACCGTTCGGAAACCATTCTGGAAAAACCTTCGGGGGGTCAATTTGACCCCCACCCGAGCGCGTGTAAAAGGTGGAGCAGAAGTGGATCAACGCACAACACCAGTGAGCCACGCGCATCGTTTTTGCCTGCATCAGTAGGAAAGACGACCTTTTTATAAGCAGACAATGGAGCCAGTGACCTATTCTGAGGTTGGTAGTGGAGAGGGAGATAGCCAGTGAGATTATTCCTTTACAGTCAACGCTCAGAGGGCCAATGTGGGACTTTCAAAAAGTCATGGGTCTCAGTCCACGCACCGCTCTCCGGTCCCCGCGCCCCCAGGCCTTGCAGTGGTGCAGCGAAAGGCATACCAGGAATTTGCGTAGCAGTGATCTTTCGGGAGAGGACCAGTTATTAAACGCTTGGCTTCCCAGTCATTTCTTCAGTGCCATGATGGCTTCACAACCTCGTATCCCTATCACTGATCGATGGCGTCGCAACGGCTTTGTTTACGTGAAAAATGCTTAAGACGTCCTTCCAGCAATAGAACAATGTAGTCAACATGGCTCAGCTTCTACACCAGGAGGCTGTAGTTGGCGTGCTTTTGCGCATTTTTGACAAAGAGGACGTAGAAAAAACGTAGGATATGCAGGGATCAAGTGTTATGCTTTACAATGAGGAACAATGAACCTACCTTATGAGATGAGATGAGCAAACTGCCATGTAGATAAATGGGAACAATCTTGATGAGAACACATGTGTGAAAATCAATACAACACGCCGGATCTCCTGTTAAAACAACTTCGCAGAAATCATCAGGCACATGTTTCTCAAACAAAACTTGAATGCATCCAAGGATACACAGTTTGTAGAGCATGCATCAGTTGTGCACCATTGACCTGGGTGTGGCGGTCTTTCCATGCAAAGAATATCCTGAAGAGCTTCAAGAAGCCTTACAGGAACGCCAACTGTTTGCTGCTTATGCCAGCCACTTCTAGGGGTGCAGCGAGATACTTGGTATGGAAGGGGGAGGGGTCACAGGGTTGACAAAGATTTCCTTGATGATGAACCCCCACAAAAAAATCAGAATCACCGGGTATGGCCTTTCTTTGCCGGAACAAAAGCCAGAAGTCACTGGAATATGCATTCCTATTGTACTTTGAAGTCAACAAATGAGCCAGTGGAACCTTTCTATACCGGTAGCATTCGGGGGCTCTGCTAGATTTCTTTCTGGGTTCTACAGGAATAGTGAGAGCCACGAGAACGCAGGTCGTAGATCGAAATGGGATAGCAATTTGCATCAGCATGGCCAACCCATGTTACTTTGGGGACTGGGAATGTTTAACCGACATTTAAAATCGATTACACACATATTCACTTAAGTTCTGAACATGCGCTCGGAAGCTTTAAAAAGCAAGGGCTCCGACGTCCGGCGTTGCAGTCCGGATGGGCCGCGCAGCGTCGACCAGGCGACTAACACCAGGCGGTGGCCACCGGGTGGACAAAATGTGGACATCTGAACGAGGTACCTTTGAACGCTGTAGGACATCAATTCGTACGTATTTAAAATGCTACAGGCGTACATTTCACCTGTGCGATTTTAGATTGATACTAGGAACGGAGCACCATTTACAGTACTGCGAACTGTTGTTGGAATCTGACGGTGTAACCAAAGGAACAAATGTAGAATCCGTATATTTAGTGTTGTTGTAACTTGAATCCATTTTGAGGAAAACTTAAAAATTATACAAATACAGTAAACGCTGAATTATAATTTTTAAGCGATACCAATCGATTTTCAAAGGCATTCGAAGGCGTTATTTCAGGACCTTTGCTCCAGCGCACCTGGTGCCCGCCGCCTGGTGTTATCTGCATCGCGCAACGCCGTTCGGTTCCACGGAAACTGCAACGCCCGCCATTGGTGCTTTTGCTCCTAAAATGGGCGTGCGGGCAAGTTCAAAGCTTTTTTTTTATTTTATTTCTTTTGCTAGTCGATTATCAAAGGGGATGGACGTCCTGAGGCAAGCACGGTCTCTCATTTTTCTTTTTGATCTCGTTTCGGCTCAATTTTTTAAACACTTACCTTCTCCTTACATTTTTACGGGCAAGAAGCCCGTGGGCAGGGCCCGGTCAGGGGCTGGAGGGCCATGTCATCCCAGCGTGAGATGCTCGCCAGCTGCAATGCTGGCGACATGGGCCCCCTGGTCAGTCCCCTGGTCGATCCGGAGGCCCTCAGAGGGATACATCACACATTGGTACTCTATCTGACGCGGGGAACTCTCTGACCTGGGCAGTTGGCCCCGGATCGACGCCGGGACCCTCACTGACGCGAAGGCGTTCCTTAGCGCAAC